TGGGTCCCGCGCAGACCACATCTCCGTCCGTATGCTTCGTAGGGCTAGGGGCTCCTTGAGAGCTGCTTCTTGGCTCCCACAAACGTTTCAGAGGCTCCCAGGAGCAAGAGAACTCCCAGGGCCCAGAGGTTAGTTCCTAGTACGGATGGAACCGTCTGCAGGAGCGTGAACAGTTCCTTGATGGTGATGATGAAGATGTGCATCTTGTATCTGGATACTGCGATGAGTATCTATTTGAATAGCATACGGACAGCGACAGAAAATACGCATAAAACTGATATCACCAATCAGGCCTAACAAGTATGGGTTTCCCGCTTACTTCTGGAGGCAGTAATGGGACGGCGAGCGACCGAGATAAAAAACACTTGCCGGTCCTACCCATAGCGAACGACCGAGCACGTGAAAGCAAAGAAAAATCTTGACATGGAATGCTCTTTTAATGGAAGAAATGGCATCTCCTACTAATTCATGTCAGCATAATAGTGAATCAATACAGCATTTGTGGGCTACAGGAAGCGTTATTGGGGCCGCGTCTCGTTCCCCGAAAATCGGCAAGTCGTGTTTGCTTCCGGGAAATAGTTTTGCCGGGGGCGGATCAGCTGACATCAGTCAAGTGGAGACAGGCCATCGATGCCTGTCGCAGGATATCACTCTCTTCTTTACTACATGCGAGACCGGGTGGTCGCAACCGTTATGTTGCCACCCTCGACGAGACGAGCCCCGACTACAATCCAGATTTCCGTGGCCAGCTGTCGTTTGACGGGCGCCCACTCGGATTTCCAGCACCTACTTGCCCCCTATCTGAAGCTAAGCCTCAGCAACCATAACTTTGCGCAAGATTGAAAATCAAAGCCTGATTCTTTCAGATAACAAACGAACGAACTAAGTAGCCTGAGTAGATCCCCTTCATCCCGGCTGGTCTCCTTCTGATGTAGCTAGGGCCAGTTCTACGGTACAACACCACGTTGCTGTGTCGACAGCTTCAAGAGTGAAGAGATGGCTGTTAGACGAAAGAGATCTCTCCCTGCAGTGCATATAAGTGCCGGTGTTGTGGGATGGTAGACGGGTATATCTCACCGAGGATATCTCAGCGTTTATGGATACCCGGTGAAGCGGCCATACGGCCGACGGTGACGTTTCGTTTATCCTGGTGAAAGATCAACGCTTCACGAAGACTTAGTAAATTAGCCGTTTCTATTTTCTTTAAAAGTTGACATTTGATTTATTGGTCCTCTGTCTGCCAATTAAAAGAATGATTGGCCTCCGCCATTATACTAAACCTCCAGCAACCCTTCACTGCCAGTTCAAACGCTGCTGCCACTTCCACCACAACTACTATACCGGGAAACTTCCGAAGCAGATGGACAAATCTGGTCAAGGTGATTCGCATAACTTTATTCCACCGCGTGCCTGTGCTCACAACAGACTAGATATCGACTTCGATCTCGACCTTCACGCAATATGGCGAGAATCCTCTTGTATACCGGCGCCGCCTCCTTGTCTTTGCGCAGATCACGAAGATATTGCGCTAGACTTTCCGAATGGATTAAAGTCTGTAGCACACGAGGGACAAGGATCCCCCTTGGTGGAATGCTTCTTCCACCCCAACAACGATAACCAGTCGGGCTTCAAGTGGACGGGTCCAGATCCTCTGTCGTTCGCCACTCAAGCTGATGACCTTTTCCTTTACATGTCAGCTTTCTTTCTTTTTGAAGAGGTCTACTGGGTGGAGTTGAGGCTTGCAAGATTTGATCACTTAACCGGCGAGACAGTGGGTGAGCATCTGTTCTTCCTGCCCCGTGTTGAAACGGCCATGGGGAATCTATGCCGGGTGCGTGGGCAGATCCTGGACATCATATCACTAGTCACTGTAGGAGCGATACCTCCTTCCTTCCGATTGTCTTTGTGGCCGCGCACAGAACCTCTACCGTTTTCCGGTCACTCTACTCTGTCCCCGCTAGCGACACTACCCACGACGCCATCCCTGGATCCATCGTTCTTTGTACATAATCTCCTGGAAAATTACAAATGAATGTGACGCACTCATGTGACTGTACTTGTGTTTCCATTGTTTTCTGAACGACGTCCGCAAGGTCGTCAATAGTCACGTAATGGCAATGTGCTTTGTACAACATTCTCTAAATAAAACAAAAACCCGTCAAAGGATTGACACTACGTTTGAGTACGGGCTTCACTTGTTCTCTGTCTGCTTCATTACATGGCAGTAAAGAAATACATGGCACACTTCCCACTGGCAACCCGTCACTCGGTTCTTTTGACATCCACCAACATGCCCAGACTACTTTTCGAGCATTGGTTCCAGCCATTGAGCACGACAGTCATCCGTTCCCAAGACGATTCCAAAGCCTGCTCAAAGGAAAGCAGTCGTAATCGCTGCTCATCATGAGGAAGCTGAGGTCCATTCCTCTCTTTGCTCGGGTTATTGCTAGCCTCCTTCGAGAATTGACTCTTCTGGTCGACATCCTCGCCACTGAGGTGCCTAGGCACACATGATGCCCATAGACGTCGATAGAGCCCCACGGACCGAGCCGCTTGAAATGCTAGTTTCGGATCGTCGCGATCGAGATTTGCTAGTGTCGCCAAGATGGGTTGAAAGTGCTCGATCGTCAGGGTTTCTTTCTGGTTGGTTCCCAGCTACGGGAGGGAGAATGCCAGTAGTCAGCCACAAGATCTGATACCGTATGGGATGCACCTAACGTACCTGTAGTGGTTTGGGATCAGAAGCGTCCTTTGGGTGGCCTTTATCAACCTGAATTGGGAGTCCAGTCGGCTGGTGACCTCCCTCATTATTTTGGTCCGGTACGTTCCTTGGAGCATCCATTTCGTGATAGGCAAAGAATGACAGGCAAAGAAATGATTTCAGAGAAATTAGTCTGTACCGGATGATAGCCTCTCTTATAGTCCACCTGGAGACACGTAGTCACCTTGTTAGTGTTACAACAGAGGTATGGGTCTCAACGCAGTCATTTATTTGATTTTGATAGCTATTTGGTATTTGCGGCCGTTGAGCAACCCTATTCCCATGCTGATGAATATGTCAGTAGCCAAACAAGTTATTCAAGCAGCGTTGAATCTTCTCTCACAGCTTCAACGGCTACATAAATTCAAACGCTATATTTCTTAATTTGAAAGCATTTGACTGGCCAGGACCGGTGAGCAACAACTGATACAGCCATGTCAGCGACTGGTGAAAGACTAGGGATTCTGTATCAAGCCGGGCACTCTGTCTGCTTGATTCCTAGTTGTGGGCAGCAAAAGCCCGGATTGAACGAGCCTCACAGGTGGTGTCTGGTCAACGTTGAATCAACGACCATCTCGCCTCACAAACAGGCATCTTTATATGCTGTTCATGTATTTCGTCAACAATCCAGGATCACGTTAAAATCAAACCGTGCACAGCAAATGGCAAGACTTCGTTTTCGATAGGATTGTTGAAGGGAGGGTCAACTAGCAACTTGGGTGAACAAGCAGCGATGATTCAGGTATTCTAGGTTTCTGTGCGAGTTTTGCTGACTTTTTCTACCTTTTGTTTCGTCCGTGGTATTTCAAGGGGCCACTCCTTCCTCTATACACTAGGTCTCACTTACTAGTGATCGATTTTCGTACGCAGACATCGCTCTTGACAGTGGGGTGAATGCCTCCTACTTTCGCCTCATTTTCAGCACAGAAATCTCGATACATGCTTAGTGTGGGCGACAGTTCACAAATAGTACAACAAGCTACGACAACATCCTCGCAAACAGAAGCATGTAAGACGGACATGATGTTCCCAAGCGACACACTACTCTTCTACGGTGACAGAAGCGAACAAAAAGACCTGATCGATCTCATACCCACCGAACAGCCTGGCATGGAGTTCCACCAGCATGAAAAGTGCGACTTTATCTCTCATGGCTCGGCAGTCCCATTGCACATCAGCCAAAGCGGAAACCATGGTCATCTTTGTCAACAAATGGGTTGCTCAATTCCAGGATCCAGCCATTGCGGATGGCGGCCTGTGGTCTGTTGGTTTCGATACCAGCCTATCTGGGAGCCATCGTACTCACCCTTGGAGGCTTCCCCTGGCCATTTTGACCTTGTGCCTAATTTGTTCGGAACCTGCCCCTTCCCAGCCCCCAGAATACCGATGATCTGTGGATAGAGCGGCTTCGAGGGCAGCACATTGGACAAGACACGCAGGTTGCAGAGGCCTGTCAAGTCTTCCGACAATCCCCCAATCCCCTCCGTACGCAAGATCCCTCCGATTTCGGTGTCGGAGATTCACAAGCCAGCACCCCACGGCAACAGTTCAATTGCAGGCTTTCGGGATGCAAGCGCCAATTCAAACGTCAAAAGACCTTGAACCGCCACCTGGCAAGCCATTCAGGAGCGAGACCTCATGTCTGCTGGGTCCCTGGGTGCCAACGCAGTTTCTCGCGGCGCGACAACCTCAATGACCACTATAAAACACACGGTAAACGTGGGGGCCGCAATCGGTATGTGGCTACCCTAGACAAGACAAGCACCGTCTATAACCCTGAGTTCTGTGGGCAGCTAACGCCTGAAGGCTGGCCACTTGACTATGCTCGCCATGACTGATCCGGTGCTTGAGATGTACAGTGGCACCAGATTTCCACTGTTCTTCGACTTTCTGTTACCAAAGATGAGAAGCAATGGTATAGGCTTCACTGCAGTTGCATATTGTCTCTTTCCTCTTGGCCTACTGGCTTTTGTGCTGTGAAAATATGTTTCACTCAACCGCAGGCCTATTACCTTTCATTGAATTTTCTAGAAATCGATTCGATATGTGTAACCTTCGGATTAGAAAACGCAATACGAGAAGTCCTTACTGAAATGGAAGTTGTATGATATTCGCACCCTTGGCGGAGCTCTCTATTCTCTGACTGGAGTTGCAGAGCTTTGATCATCGAATCCATGACAACGAGGACTACACCGCGGAGCGATGCGAGGAATTAGAAACCAACTACTGGAAGTCACTCATGTACAACAACCCGATGTACGGTGCCGACATGCCTGGTTCGCTCTTCGAGGATAGTACGACCTCTTGGAACGTTGCCAAGTTGCCCAATCTGCTCGACGTTCTTGGCCAAAAAGTGCCTGGGGTCAACACTGCTTACCTCTACCTGGGCATGTGGAAGGCCACATTTGCTTGGCATCTCGAGGATGTGGATCTCTACAGTATCAACTACATCCACTTTGGTGCGCCAAAGCAATGGTACAGCATTTCCCAGGAAGATGCACCTCGCTTCGAGCAGGCAATGCGCAGTATTTGGTCCAGTGATGCAAAGAACTGTGATCAATCCCTTCACCACAAGACCTATCTCGTCTCGCCTAGCCTTCTCAAGTCCCAGTACGGCATCACTGTCAACCGGTTGGTCCACTATGAAGGGGAGTTTGTCATCACCTTCCCTTACGGCTACCACTCTGGATACAACATCGGATACAATTGCGCCGAGTCGGTCAACTTTGCGACTGAGCGGTGGTTAGACTATGCTCGCATCGCCAAGAAATGCAACTGCGAGTCAGACAGTGTCTGGATCGACGTGGATGAGATTGAGCGCAAACTGCGTGGCGAGAGCACCCCTGAATACCACGCTGAATACGAGAGCGAGTTCGATGGGTTCGAAGCTGCTTCCGATATTCTCACGCCGCCTCGCAGTGTTCCTGAGAATCCCTCCCGTGGCCGAAAGCGGAAGAACCCGGATGACGGGCCGAGGACCAAACGATCCAAACCCCACACCGATGCCGCGGAAGCTCCCGTGTCTGCTGTGCCCTAACAATCTGGACTATGAGGATCTGCTGCCGACCGAGGATGGCAAAGGCCACGCACACCGACGGTGCGCGTTGTTCGTCGAGGAGACTACAATCCTTCACGATGCGTCCGGCACGGAGGTTGTGTGTGATATTGACAAGATCCCCAAGGCTCGCTTGGGTCTAAAGTGTCTCTTTTGCCGCGAAGTCTTCGGCGCTTGCTTCCAGTGCAATTTCGGCAAATGCACACGCGCCTATCATGCCACCTGTACCCTGTTGGCTGGCGTGCAGATTGAATCCGGTGCGATTGCGGTCATTGCCAACGATGGCAGTCAATACTCAGTTCCCAGTGTTGATTTAAATGCAAATTCCATCGCCAGAAGCGACCGAACGGAGTCCTGTGAGAATCCTCGGATTTGGATCGCCATGTGATTGAAGAGGCCCGTCATCAGTCGCAAGGGAATTTGGTCCAGTTTCAGGTTGACAAGGAAATAAATGGCGCCATTGTGCTTGAAAATCGACCCGAAGAGCGGAGCCTGTTGCTCAAAGTACTTCCCCGAGGGTGAGTCACCTATTCCCCGAGCCCTCCAGGACGGAAGGTCTTCATTTTCCATATTCTCCCAATGCTAACAACCCTGCAGCGATGTGATTGAAATGCCTTACCGGTGGATGCTGGTGGTTCGCAAGTCTAATTTCGTACCGCTCGCACTGGGAATCAAACCCCTCCGGTCCACCTAGCGCGCAAGCCCGAACGAAAAGAGTTAGAGTCAGCAGTGCCCGCGGCAGGCAGTGCACGATCTCCCTATCAGTGGGCCGAATTCGAGACGGTGGATGCGACTAGGAACTATTTCGCCCCACTCCGGCCAGTGAGAGTTGAGCAGGTGTGGCATTACTTGGGCACCAAGTCCACCGAGAGTAGGGTACAGTATACACACAACCCTAGTGTGCCCATCCACAACCCGCAGGCCAATTTCCTGGACAGCGTCAAGTCGCTTGGCGTGGCTGGTGTCAGCGCTCGTGCATCGAAAATCTCACCCCACCACCAGTTTCATTATGCTACCCCTGCCCCTCCCTACCAGCAAAATCTTTACGCCCAACAACAACGACTCTTGAATGTCACCCGTCCTTCCGCCTCCCTGCAGCACCTTGCTGCTGGAGCTCCTGCGATGCCGTCGGCCTTTCGACCACTACCCAATCAGTCTGCCCGCCATGCCCCCTACCCCTCGGTTGCCAAATCGCACGCTCAGCAGCAGCATCACCTCCCATCCACCAATATCTTTGCCAATGTCCGGGAACTCATAGCTCGTCGCCGCCTCACTCAAATAACTGACCACGCCAATGTTTTTGCCGGATACGACATCATCAGTTCCGAATTGGTAGTTGAGACCCTGTTGGGTCCGATGGGCTCAATACCACCAGTCAATGGCCTGGAGAAGCTGGAACTAGCCATGGCACAGCAACGGGTACAGCCACGAGCCGCTGACGGAACCTTGCTGCCACCTCAGACCCTCAACATGCGGTCGGAAGAGGTCACTCGGCTCCTTCAGATGTTGCGGTTCTCGCTGGTGAGTCACCGTGAGCGACTGGATGTGATTCAAAAGAAAGAGTCAGAAAACATCAAGCAAGAGACCGTGGATCGAGGTAGCGTGGCGGCAGCGAAGATGCCCGGAAAATATGCCTACCTCGACCAGCAACAATCCACCGCTCCGAATGTCTACCAATCTCCATATAACATGCCGTCCGGTCTCTCCGAATATGCCAAGTCTACATACGGGTTGATTCCTGCGGCTGATGAATCGCCCAAGGAGTCCCTGGCGAATGACTTTTTCAATAGTCTGCCACAGGAGGCCCAGGAAAAAATCCTAAAGAACTGTGGTAGCTTTGTGCAGCGTGCAATCGAGCGGTCGGCCAGTCACAGCCGGCATAGTTCAGCCTCGAATCTCCGGCTGTCGGCGGCTTTGGCTCAACAAACGGAAAATCTGATTATTGACATCACCCCGGTGGAGGATCCCCCTCTACTTTCAGGTCTCGACATGCCGCTCCACGCAGATTCCCCATGCTCCAGTTTCGGCCGGTCGCATCTCCGATTCCAGTCGCCAAATGAGTTCCCCATGCATGGACTCGACCCGCACTCTGATCACCACGATCTCTTCGGAGACCAACAAGCCAATGCACGCTTCTGGCAGAACGGGCCGTGGGTCGCCGGGGTTGGCAACACCCCCAATGACGAGAATCGACCGTTCTTTGGGCCACACATCTTCGGGCCACATGAACGACTCAAGCACGGCTATGCTTCCTCCGACATCTCCCTGGGCAAGGGGCCGGGATCCCTTCACTCCGTCGATATGGCTGGGTTCGGGCCGGATGGAGCTGATGATCTCCCACTCAGCCCATAGATGTCCCTCTCGTCACTGACTTTTTTGACCCGCGTTTGCTTCCCACTGCGACTGTACTTGCATCTCCATGTAACGACTTCACTGAACTGACGACTGCATGAATGGGCGTTTTCTTGATTTTCCCCGACCTCAACGATTGTTACGGGTCATGTTTCTTTATGATTTGGAGTTCTCACTAGCTGGCTGGTCACGACTCAGCGTTCTCATTTCACACATTCTTTTTACACGCGAATCTGCGATCCAGCTACTGGGAGTGGTCACATAGACGGAGTTCGACTTGCACGGTTCTTTGTGACCGAAAAAACCCTCTCGGCCCTCCCCTTCAACATCCTGGGCCTACTTTCGCCCATCCCTCGTGTCTAGATATCTGAAACAGAAAAAAAAAATTCTTTTCTTCCCAGATTACTGGATCACGTTTGTGTTTTATCCCCTTTGATACCCCCCTTACCCCTATGGAAGTGTGTGGATCTGGATCGAATCTTCGTGGATCTCCGGAAATGTGTTTTTTCCTTTCCCCTTCCCCTTCTATGTCGATATTCATCCTGGCGCTCATTGATTGCTCGCCTCTTACGAGTGTTTGCAGCATGTTCCTGATGTGGCAGCCGTCACCTTGTGTGACCTGATGTATGTGTGCAATGGAATATTAGCCCCCAGTGAGCTCGCACTGGGCAGCAGTCCTAGCCAGGCTGTTGGGACAATGGATTCATACCTTCTCGTGGTGTCCGGTGTTAATCCCCGTTGGGGAGACCAAAGTGAATCCGCCGTGGTTGTGCGGTCCGGCCCGGCGCGGTTGGCGAGAGGCACGACCGCACAACCACACCAAAATCAGGGGATAACGGCATATGAAAACCATCCGACTTCTTCTTACCCGACTCGCACTCGGGCCCAAAAGCTGGTCTTGCATTACCAGTGAAAGTGGTGTCGCCCTAGAAAGAAGACAGGACACCCCTGAGCTTGCATACGGTCTGAGTTCGCATCGTGTAAGATGCGGCGAGGCGGTAGTAAACCGATGACACAGGCAGTCAAGCTAATATCGGACAGACCTCGTTCAAGGCCCAGGAGACCTCGTTAAGTCTCGAACTCGTTAAGGCACGAAGATGCCGCCTCGGAAGACCTCGTTAAGGCCTAGCCATGGGCAACCTTTGATGCGGTTCCTCTTCTTGACACGGACACCACCGAGACACGGGCATCCTCCTGGGAGATATGCGCGCATTCTGAAAGGAATTGGTATTTGGCTGGTGGCAAACCATCGATCCTGCTCAGGCATCGGAGAACAAGCTTGGTTAGTGGAAAGTGGCCGACGTACACTGCCGGACGGAGCGTATATGAGGGCTTTCTGCAAGACACGGTCGGCCTGGCGGGGGAGACCTCCCCAGGTAACGCGAAACGGGAGTGAAAGCTCTCGCGGGGCGTGGTGTACAATGGCAGCCACTGCGACAGGGTCGGGGCCTGTCAAGAGACTGTCTGTATGGCCCGAGAGGACGGATGCGCGTGTCGGTGTACAAACAGCCGGGAATCAACTACCTCACTCGCACTGAGGGCCTGAGATCAGGTTAGCCTGATTGGAGCGGTGTCGTCCTAGTTGATTTGTCCGTGATGTATTCTTAAGGAGCAAACTGAGAGACAACCAGGGTGAGAGGCTTTGTCTACCTCAAGAGTCCAGAAACCTCGTTTATTGGGTGAAAAACTGGAGTAGTGGTCTATGCAAGTAGGCCTGCCGAAGCTACTTTATGTCTTTTGGCCTCGTGCAAAGACAGATCGACAGCCAGGGAGGATCGATTGCTTTTGTGGATGATTTTACTGCATGGGTGACCGGGCCAACTGCGCAGAGTAACCGGGAAGGAATTGAAGCAATCATCAATAAGGCGCTCGACTGGGAAAGAAGAAGCGGAGCGACTTTTGAAGCGGAAAAGACAACTATCATACACTTTACCCCCCAAGACGCGTAAATCGGACCATGAGCCGTTTACTATCAAGGGACAGACGGTTGTACCCAAAGACCATGTCAAGATCCTAGGCGTCTTGATGGACACGGGACTCAAGTACAAGGAACATATCGCGAGGGCAGCATCCACGGGCCTGGAGGCCGCGATGGGGCTTCGGCGACTTCGGGGTCTATCCCCAGCAACAGCACGGCAGCTATTCACATCGACGGTGGCGCCGGTCGTGGACTATGCCTCCAATGTATGGATGCACGCTTGCAAGGATAAAGCCATCGGACCAATCAACCGCTTCCAAAGGGTAGGAGCGCAAGCGATTGTAGGGACATTCCTGACAGTTGCGACCAGTGTCGCAGAGGCGGAGGCCCACATTGCCACTGCTCAACACCGTTTCTGGAGACGAGCCGTGAAGATGTGGACGGACATGCACACCCTGCCAGAAACCAATCCTCTCCGCAGAAACACAGATCGGATCAGGAAGTTCAGAAGATACCACCGCTCGCCGTTGTTCCACGTAGCGGACGCGCTTAAGCACATCGACATGGAAACACTGGAAACGATTAATCCGTTTACGTTGGCCCCATAGGAGGAACGCGTGCGGACCGATACTGTTGACCGCAAGAGTCTCAGACCGATGCGGGCGGATACATGCAGATTGCGGTCAGCAGCTCGGCGCGTAATGAGTTAGTGGGATTTGGTGGAGCAATCGAAAAGCAGCCACCTCACTACCGGAAAATGAAACTGAAAGCCTTCTCGGTTACGCTGAGTGTCAGTAGAGCAGAACCCGTACTCGGCGGAGCTGGCAGCAATGGCATGCGTGTTACACATGCTACCAGGGGTGAAAGGATACAGAATCACGCTGCTCACGGGTAAAAAAGCAGCAGCACTCACGCTGAGGAATCCTCGTCAACAGTCGGGCCAGGGTCACGTCGACCAAATTTACAAGCTGACTAGAAGGCTAGGGAGAACCGCAAACCGGATCAACATTCGTTGGACCCCTACTAGTGAAGCGAACAAATTGTTGGGCCTAGCGAAAGAGCAGGCCAGGACCGCGACCCAAGCGGATGCTCTCCTCCAAGCACGAGTTTCTAGGATGAAGTCAACAAACCTGATCATCGCACAGTCACATGTAGCCACTGGGAAAGGCTTGCCAGAGAAAGTTGGGAAACACGTCAAACGAGTGGATGCAGCACTTCCAGGAAAACACACTCGACAGCTGTATGATCGCCTATCGTGGAAAGAAGCAAGCGTGCTGGCTCAACTCCGGACTGGCGTGGCAAGACTCGATGGATATCTCTATCGAATCAACGCGGCAGAGGCGGATCAGTGTGCATGTGAACAAGCGAAAGAGACCGTGGAGCACTTCCTTTTTCGATGTCGGAAGTGGACTGCGCACCGGATGGAACTGCTACAGTGTACCAACACCCACCGAGGAAACCTGCCCTTCTCCCTGGGAGGGAAATCGCCGTCTGATGATCAGAAGTGGACGCCAAACTTAAAAGCGGTACGGGACTCAATACGATTCGCCATCGCGACGGGCCGACTCGAGGCCACTTAACCATGCCGACGAACATAAATCACCCCTTTTTCCGATCTAACTCACCAACTACCACGTGCTACAGATGGTAGACGCGCTTCAACTGCCGAAGATAGGATGTTGAACACTTGGAGAAGCGCCTTCAAGCCAGCCTACTAACAAAATTACTAACCCAGGAGGATCCGCTGCGACACTGCTTGCTTGAAATGACATATATGGCAAGGTTTTATGTATGGGCTCTAAGGAGACACAGTACTGTATATATTATGACATGTATAGTAGATCAGCGATAGTTGCCCTTTCGGCTTAGCCGCTGGGCGTTAATAGATCGTGTTGTGTATATACCAATAGCATCGGTCGCCAGAATTTCAACGTGTTTTAAGAAGAAATGAGGTGGCAGAAGATTCAACAGGCCAAGAGAAGGAAATCGGTGGCGTGGAAAAGAATAAAACAAAATAACCCGGAGTGCAGAGGAGATTTTGCATGCGGCTACAACATACAGCATATTCTAGGGGGGAACAGCATCATGGGAATTGTCCGCGGCCCCGGCACTCCCTAAAGTGAGACTTGTTAAAGTCCGGTATTGCCCATCTCTCCATCCACTCGCATTTTACAATATCCTGCGCAGTTGGCCGCTTTTCCGGCTCAAAAGACAGCATCGACCGCAACATATTCACAACAGCAGCCTTTTCTTTTAAGTCAAAACCTTGGATTCCAGCCTGTTGTCGCGGGAGTTGAATGTGCTTTTCAAAGCGGTCTTCCCAAGGCCTCACCTGTCGACCTTGATTTGGTTTTCCACTTTCATCGAAATATTTGTGGCGCGCCGCCCATTTCTCCCACCACCGTAAAGGTAAGTTCTCCCGAGTATCAATCTGCTCGGCTGTGATATCGTCCGGCGTGGCAAGTATGTCCTCAAATAAGGGGCGCTGGCCGAGTATTATCCAGATGGAACATGCGAGTGTCCAAATATCAGCTGAAAAAGAAAGACCACATTCTGACTCAAATCGGGCTTCAGGACATAGGGGCGTGCGAGTTATATCGGTACTCTGTAGAGGGTCTGTATGCCTCTCCAAAATCACTGAGCAGGACTCTAGATTCTGGAAGGGAGAATTCCTCTGAAGCTTTCCCAAGCCAGATAGGAGGGACGACGCTAGACGGAACACCAGACTCAAGGGGCTGACCATCAAAACGAATAACTGGTTCTGACACGGGCGAACCGTATTTTTCATATAACTCTTCGATTGAGAGCTGATCAAAATCGGCTGGGAGACATAAAAGAATATTGGCGATGTGAAGGTCTGATGTAGTTGTTGTATAAGCATATGGTTGTAAAGCTATAAAGAATGGTGACTAACCTCCATGAACAACTCCTTTGCTGTGGATGTACTCAACGGCTAGCAAAAGTTGCACAATGAGCGAGCGAGCGGTCATGGCCTGAAAGATGCGTTTGTATGACCCTTCCTTCGCACTAGAGACACTACACATTGCTAGGGTTGTCACATAGCAAGGGTGGGTGCCATTAG